CCCCAAAACCCCAAAACCCCAAAACCCCTAATATACATTATTGAAAATAAAAATAAATTAATAGATAATGGATACAAAAAATAAGGAGTATGCTGAAGCATTAAATCCTTCAAGTGAAGATGACATTAAGTCAAGCATGGCAAGCACTGTCATTGAGCCATCAGATAGGTTTTTATTTAACTATTTCATGTTTCTCTTGTTTGGGATAGTTCTAATACTTCCATTCAATGCTCTTATCCTATCAATTGGATTTTTTGAATCAAATCTCCCAGGAAGAGATATAGAATTTGTTGTATCGACTCTTACTAATGTTCCAATTTTTATCGGACAGATTCTTATGCTATTTATTTCAGGATTTTTAAACCTCAAAGCTACAATTATCTTTAGTCTGTTTGGCATGGCAGGATGCTGAATGGCAATTCCCTTTCTTACAGAGCATATTACGAGTATTAACACCCTGTGGATTGTAATCCTAATTAGCATCGCTATCTTTTGCTTCTTTAGTGGGGTGTTGCAAAGCTGAGCATATGGATATGCAGGAATATTTCCTCAACGAAATATTGCATCACTAAGTAATGGAACAGGAATGAGTGGAGTCGTAATTGGAATTCTTAGAGCTATTTCTCTATTGTCATTCCCAGTTGATAATGATATCCCAAGAGATCCAAACCTATTCACAGGAGCTATTCTGTATTACTCTATTTCAACTGCTTTTTGTATAATCTTGATAGTATTAATATTAATATCATTCCGAACAGAATATAGTTTGTTCTATTTAGAAGGTAAGAATGACTCCCAGGCTCAAAAAAGAATAGACTCAATAGATAATCTTATGAAGAGTCACCAGAGTTTCACTATTGCAATTAGTAATAGAAAAAGCCTTGCTCGGCAATCGATGAAATCTCTTGGTGAAGAAGATGAAGAAAAAGCTTCAATTCTTAAAGTACATAGAGATAACTGGCTCAATCTTTGGGGGATATTTCTAAACTTTGTAATCACTATGGTGATGTATCCAGGGTTACTACTCCAGGGAAATTTATCGTTTATTGAAGAAATTGATTGGAAAGTCTGGTTTGTCATTATTTTATTTGTTGCAAGTGATACTGTTGGAAGAGTCTTAGCAGGATTTTTGACTTTAAAATCACCAATAATTTGAGGAATTCTTACCTTGCTGAGATCTGGAAACGTTGCAGTAGCTTTTTTATCAGCTTATGACATCAGCTTCTTTGGTACTGATTATGTGGTCATCATTAATATTATTATCTCTGGATTTGGGCTTGGGTATTTGGTTACTTCTCAAATCCTTACGGCATGAACAATCCCAAAGCCTTATGAAATGGAATTGACAGGAAAAATGATCAATATATTTCTTCAAATCGGAATTGTAGTAGGAAGTTTAATAGCAACATTCGGATTATCAACCTTGTTTTAAAATTGATTCAACATTCTTTATCTATTTTGGGGTTTTGGGGTTTTGGGGTTTTGGGGTTTTGGGGTTTTGGGGTTTTGGGGTTTTGGGGTTTTGGGG